GCAGGGGTGACTGACAGTCATTTTGGTGTCACCCCTCTCTAAAAAGTCGGGCACTCGGTCATGGACAGAGAGCCCGACAGTGTCAGGAGGAGGGGACCTCATCCCGCCGGGCATCAATCAGATGGCCTCGCATGCGCGACGACGACACGGCGGGGTGTCGCCCGGTCTCGGGACGCCCCTGATTTGTAGTTCTGTTCATCCAGTCCTGAGATTTATACAGTTCTGCCACACAGCACAGCCTTGTCTAACCCGTTTAACAGTTACAGGTCTTGTCCCTCCCCCAGCCTGTGATTGGACAGTGAACGGAGAAGCAGCAGACATATGAGCTTACCTCTCCGACACTGTCCTCTCTCCGCCAAATCCAGGGGTGTCCCGAGGCAGGGTGACACCCGGAGCGGGTACCGTGACGTCATTGTGCACGCATGTGATGACGTCACGCGCTGTTACATGCCGGCGGCCATCTTGCTGATGGACACCTGCAGAGAGGAGGGGACGGTCACCCGGCAATAAAAGGTATGCCGCCGGGTCCCCTCCTCGTTGGGCTCTCGGTCCATGATCGAATGCCCGACTTTTCAAAGTGGGTGAAACCACATTTTGGTGTCACCCCTCCAATGGTGTCACCCGGGTGCGGACCGCACTCCCCCTTTGACACCAATCAGCATACCCTTTGCACTGCAACATAGCTGATTGGCTCCTTGTGCTGCTTCTCGCTCTACCAATCTGAGCTCTGCTGCACAGAGACTGCAAAAGGCTGACAGCAGGTCACATTCAAGCATTTACACCGCTTGCATTGTCGGCAGAAGTGGATCATGAGTCTGGAAGCAGCACCAGTGAGGGACATGGATGATGGACTTATAAGATGCTTCAATAAAGGTAATACAAAAAAAACATTCTATATTTGTATCTGTTATTATAATAAACCCCTTTTTGATCCTGCCATTAAGCTTCCTGTTATAGGGTGACAACGTTCTGTTCCTCCCTCCCAAATGTACTCCTGCGTTGTCACCCTGTCACACGCACCCCTGCAGAGTTAAGTGGGAGACACGACCGTCTGCAGAACTGCAAAGCATAAAAAATCACCCCCCGGGAAGAACAATGCCAGCAAACAATCGAGCATTGTGACCTGAGCATGCTTGCTAGTTTCGGCACTCAGTGTTCTATGGTTACCAATCACAAGAAATCCCAACACGGACCCGCTTTATTTTTTGTTATGGGCTGAGTGACAGAGAATGTGGAATGGTAACCTGGCTCTGCGGCGTCCACCTTTAGGCAAAAAGAAATTTGCATTCAGTTTGGAAAGCTCGGTTACTTTTGTCTGCCTGACAAGGGAAAGTCCAGCACTAGAGGTGTCGGAGGGGATCTGGAAAGGGAACAGTGTGACCCTCACTTGACCCCCTATGCATGCAGCAAGGTGTGCGGGGGGGGGTCAGGCAAGTCCCCTCCATTACCAGCTCACTTCAGGGAGAGCCAATTGTTTTGCTGGTTGGACTGACGGTATTTGTGGATATTCCACTACCTGCCAATCAGGAACGAAACTGGTGCCTACTGAGATCCCTTCCCATTGCGTCTCCATAGCAGGTCCCTCGGGGTCATCATGGCATCTAGACATGTGCACCAGCAAAAAATGTGTTTGGTTTTGGATTTTGCTTTATTTCGAAATTCGGGTCCGAAAGTCAATTTGTTTCGGAATTCGGATTCGGAAGAAATTCGTTAGCGGAAATCCGTACGAAATTTAGTTTAGTTCGTTGCAGCAAAAAGTGACATTTTAGAGGGAAAAAAAGTTTTTTTGTTCTCATGTGTCACTTTGCTGCAACAAAATTTCGTCCAAAAAACGAAAGTTCGTCCAAAAAAAAAAACGAATCGGAAATTCGTATTCATTTGCATTCGTTATATCTGTAATTCGGATACATCCGAATCTCCGAATTTTCGTCCGAATTTTGATTCGGAACGAAACAAATCGCACATGTCTAATGGCATCCTCCACATTCCAGTGGGCACAATGCAAACCCTGGAGGGTGTTTTAAGATGGTCTAAAGCAGTGGTTCTCAACCTGTGTAACCTCGGGACCCACATTTGTCTTTGGTCATTAAGTCACGACCCAAGTCACACTGCAGAGGAACGCACAGCATTGCGGTACCACATGTTCTGGTGTGTGTGTGGGGGGCGATCGAAAGGTGCGTTCGGGATGCCATTCAAAAGATCTACCCAATCTACATACCTTACGAGAACTGGAGTGGATCCTCAGCCTGGGGTCCGGTGTGGGCTGCTGTGCTGTGCTGGAGCTCCATCCATATGTGCATCGCTTGTACAGCTCCCTTGCCCGCCCTGTAGGTGCCGGGAGCTAGAATGTGACGTCACTCCGGTCCAGGCACCTCTACAGGGCATACGAGGGAGTTGTATATACCCTGTTTCCCTGAAAATAAGACCTATCCCAAAAATAAGACCTAGTACTACTTTTGGGAATTGCTAAAATATAAGACCTACCCCGAAAATAAGACCTAGTTGTGACCATTGCCAGGGCCGGTGGTGGAAACCTGAAGGGCCGCGGGAGAGAATCAGCGGTGCCAACGAAGCCAGCGCTAGAGGAAGCGAGGCAGCAGCGGAGGGAGCAGAGCCGCATAAGCGGATGTTTCCTCTATAGCGCCGTCTCCTGTCACAGGCGGAATTATACCAAATGCACTCCGCCTGTGAGGAATCAATATTGAAAGTGCGCTTCGCTTTTTCTTGTTACCAAATTGCTCTTGGAAAGTTACGGTACCCCTGATTGCCCTGATCACACTGTTCTTAACTTTGCCATTTTGGATTATTTAATTTGGATTTGCATTAAGTTTGGATTGTTGTACATTAAAAAAATAAATAAGACCTTCCCCGAAAATAAGACCCAGTGTGTTTTTTTTGAGCCAAAAACAATATAAGACAGTGTCTTATTTTCGGGGAAACACGGTATGGATGGAGCTGGCCGACCAGAGCGCCCCTGGTTGCTAAGAGTCAGGTGGGGAGATGTGTAAGGGCCATAGATATCTCCCTGCCTGGCTCTTAGCAACTAGAGCAGGGGAGATCTGTTTGCGGGCTGGATGCTCTGGCTGGCGACCCGTCTAGTTCCTGGCAACCAGTGACATCACCGGTTGCCAGGAGCGGGGAACGGGATGCCGGCCAGAGCATCCCATGTTCCTAAGAGCTGGGCAGGGAGATGAGTATGGCCCTTACACATCTCCCCACTCGGCTCTTAGCAACCTGGGACACTCTGGCCGGTATCCCACCCAAATCCTGGCAACAAGTGACGTCACTGGTTGCCAGGAGCTGGTCGAGACGCCAGGGGTGCCATTTTGGATTCTGTCAGCAGGCAATGAAGTTAAACATACTCGGGACAACCATAGAGCTAATAGTTAATATAAAAGAGCAGACTTGGTGGAACGCTTTGAAGGCGACATTCACCGCAGGTAAATCTTTTTGTTGAATGTGTTTTGAATATACAGTAAAAGCTTCACCACCAGCGAATGTTTGATGAATGACACATTCACCGCTATACATAGGCCAGTTGGTCTTAGTCTTTACTCGCCGAGAATACAGGGGAAAGCGCGTCTCACATTTGCCTCAGCGCCCCCTCCAAGATTCATGGGGTCAGCATGGGGTGTAACAAGCAATCTCTGACTGGCATGCAGGAGGTGAGCGGAAGGTAACCATCCATGAGTATCTGGCTGTAAATGCCAGTTGCCTGCCACTTATGCCAATCCTCTGGCTTCAGCTCATTCTGGCTTGCTGGACCCTGAAGAAGCATACAGCAAGTCAGCACTCCTGATCTGCACGCTTGTTCTGGGTCAATGAAACATGTATTGAAGTTATAGGATCGCTATGACAGCCAGGAAACAGGGCAACTGGAGTTGCGGGCGTTTCCGTCTGGAAGAAGTGAGAAGGATATTCATGCGGCTGCCGGACGCTTCCACATTACTTTTCTGAATAAAACCAAAAGAAATGCAGAACTGTAATCCGCACATTAAAACTGGTTTATTTCCTGGTGATAAGGACCCACACATGACCCATCGTCGTTATATAATGACAGATCGGCCGCAGGTTATCTGGATCAGCTTTCTACATAGTTTCCGTGTCAGCTGGTCCATCCTGGTCAGACTGGTTGTATGACTGTCCCCAGGCCATGATCTCGTGGGTCTCGTAGGTCATGTGTCTTCTAATGCTTTGTACACTTTTCTATGTGTCCTTTCCAGTCATCATTGGACCACCTCTGACAATGTTCTTGGACATCCAGGTATCAGTGTGTCCTTGTTCTGGGACCCCCAGGTGTCAGTGTGTCATTGTTCTGGGGCCCCAAGTGTCAGTGTGTCAATATTCTGGGGCCCCAAGTGTCAGTGTGTCAATATTCTGGTACCCCTAGTGTCAGTATGTAATTGTTCTGGTGCCCCAAATGTCAATGTGTCATTGTTCCGGTGCCCCAAGTGTCAATGTGTCATTGTTCTGGGGACCCAAGTGTCAGTGTGTCATTCTTGTGGGACCCCCTAGTGTCATTGTATCATTGTTCTGGGAGCCCCAAGTGTCGGCGTCATTGTATTAAGACATCAAGTGTCCGTGTGTCATTGTCCTGGGACCCCCCTGAGTGTCATCGGGTCATTTTACTGCGTCCCCCCAGGTGTCGGTGTGTCATTGTACTTGGAACCTCACTTTGATGCCAAATTTTAGGGCTTAAAGGACCTCCAGAAGGAAAATTATTTTGATATTGTATCTTAGAATGCCCAACATATCCTCTTTCAGCATTTTGTTTTGCACGTCCTTCAAATTTCCCCGAATGTTTTGCATACATGGTATGTTGTTTTTTTTCCTTGAACTGCTTGCTTCAGGCCAAACATCTAGATAGAAATATGACAGCATTCAAATTTGGCCTACAAAGTGTCCCCTCCCCTTGAAGACAAAATACATAAAACTTGCCTCGCTGGTTTGTTAGTGAGGAGCAGATTGCTACACTAACATCTTTACCTATTCTAAAAATGATGGTAGCCGACGCGTCCGAGCCGATCTACAGTGATGTGGAGGACATTGTCCCCGATACAGCGGGATCACAACGTATCTCGAACGGCTATGTCCGCAAAAATCCGCCTTTATGGGAAAGAAAGAGCGAGCCATCAAAACCAGCAGTCCCCTGCACCTACTGTATCTACTCTGCTGTGCCGGCCATCAAATCATGTCTGTTGTGTGAAGCCTCCCTGTGCCTCTTACATCTCCAGGTCCACAGCAAGTCACCCGAACACGTCTTGACCATCCCACTCTCCAATCCGGGAGGGATAAGAGACTTAAAATGCTCAACTCACAAGGAGGCCATGAAGTACTATTGCTATGAAGACTCTGCCTGTATCTGTGTGTCCTGTTGCTTTGCCGGTCAGCACAAGGGTCACCAGGTGGAGTTACTGGAGGTGGCTTCTGGGAAGAAGAAGAAAGATCTGAGAAACCTCCTGGAGAGACTGAACTCAAGGCAAAATAGAATAGACAACAGAGTCCTGAGACTTAAACAGCAGAGAGGAGAGGTGCAGGACAGGACAGCTGTGGTCACGGAAAGGGTTGTTGCCTTGTTTAACGACCTCAGGAGACAACTGGAAGAGCTGGAGAAGAGGCTCCTTTGCGAGATTTCAGCAGAAGGAGACAGAATCACTCGCCCGTTCACCCTTCTCATCAATCAGCTACAGACCCAGCAAGACGAGCTCTACTGCAGCATAATGCAGATTGAGCAGCTCATCAACTTATCAGATCCATTGGCAATCATGGCCAAAACAAGTGCAGAATTGGAGCCTAAAGACACAGAAAACTTGATCTACAACCTGGAGGAGATTGACGAAGGACTGATCTCTGTGGCGTTGCACAGATCTTTTAACGAGATAATGCAAACGGTCAAGATGGCCCAAGGCTCTACAGACCTGCTGCTGGACGTAGAGAGTGCCGCCAACGACGTGTATCTCTCCGGTGATAAGAAAACGGTCTCGTGGTCAAAGATCAATCAGCGTCGCCCAAAACACCCCACCAGATTCAAGAGCCTCCAGGTTCTAAGCAAAGGGGCTTTCTCATTCGGACGACATTACTGGGAGGTGCAGACCAGCGAGACGGGGGAATGGATGATGGGGGTGTGCTATCCCAGTATGGAGCGCAAGGGAACCCTGTCGGTCTTCGGAAGCAACAACAGATCCTGGTGCTTGAGCTGGAGAGATAAAAAAATTTCTGTGGTCCACGATCAAAAAGTCAAGCATTTCCTCAATCTTTTCCCGTGCCATAGGGTAGGAATCTACTTAGACTACGAGGCGGGAAGATTGTCCTTTTACAAACTGGATGACCCCGTCAGACACTTACATACTTTTATGGTCAACTTTACTGATCCCCTCTTCGCCGCCTTCTCGGTACAGCGTGGCTGGTTGAGAATCAAGACTTAACCTTGAAGAGACCCTGTCGCCAAGTATGTTTGATCCGAGATATCAGACAAGAGTATGTATGCAATGACTGCAAGACTTGACCATGTCTGGTGGCCATATTGTATAACTCCCCCTGTTTCAATGGGAATACTCCTTTTGAGCCTGTGAGGTGGTGATGTTACATGGAACTAAAGTTGAATATCTTTAGTATGGAAGATTAGAGTTGATGAAATGTACAGGTGATGGAATCTGGACTAAAGCACCTCAGTCATGAGGTCACCTACACGGTCTATAGGTCTACTGAAAACACAACGTTCTAATTTAGATAGGAAGCGTTAGAGCCCTTAGGGCAAGGGCAGGCAACCTCGGCACTCCAGCTGTGATGAAATCGCAAATCCCACCATGCCTCTGCTTGAGGGAGTCATGCCTGTGGCTGTCAAAGTCTTGCAATGCCTTATGGGACTCATAGTTCCACAACAATTGGAGTGCCATGGTTGCCTTCCCCTGCCTTAGGGTATCCAACAAACTGAAGAAAAAGTTGGACTGCAATAGAAAAACAATAGCTGCCCCTCTTGACATTGTTTATCCAGGGTTGTCCTCCTCATCTAGATCTCACTACTTCATTTTCCGGCCAAGAAGCAGCATGCAGCCAGCGAAATGAAAGAACTTCTGAAGACTCACTAAGTAGTAAAGCAAGGATGAGGATGACAAAAAGGGAGAGCCTGCACCTTTTTCTCTCCCCCCTCTTCTCTCTCCCCCCTCCTCTTCTCTCTCCCCCCTCCTCTTCTCTCTCCCCCCTCCTCTCTCTCTCTGGTTAATATGTCAGGAATAGAAAATAAAATTGCTACATAGTTTTGGTGACGGTGATTTGGGGTTTCCTGTAAGAATAAACATATAGAGTGTAGAAGCATCCATAGACTGGATGATATTAGGTTTGCTGTGTGCACTCCTTTCATCCTTGTTTCCCGATCCGTATCCCTACCCCCCGGTTGGCGGGTAGGGGGCGCATTGAGGAACCTGGCCTTGGGGCAGCAGAGAGAGTAAATCTGGGCTTGAATATACTGTACACACACACACAGATACATGCACATTATGGATATATTGTATCATAATATATCCACAATGTATCACAAAATTGTTACCTTTTATACACTTTCATCATTTTCTGTGGCAGAATGTTTGACTTGTTGGAATCCGATGTATATTTTTATTTTCTCTTAGAATCTGTAATGTGGAGATTTTATGGCTGAATTAAAGGCATTTTATGATTTATCGGAATGATTTGCTGACTTATTTCCTATATCAGTGTGACTGAAGATGAATTTAGTTTTTGGGAATGTGGGTTAAAGGTGATCTCCAGCCAGCTGGACAAAATGACAGAAAACGCTTATACAGGAAGAGATGTTATTATGATTGGCATTTATATAGCGCCAACAGTTTACACAGTGCTTTACAGAGTGCACGTTCACATGCATACATATAGGGGTCAGTTAACCACCAGCATGTCTCTGGAGTGTGGAAGGAAACCCATGCAATGACAGGGAGATGTAAAGTGCAAATCATATGTCTTTTCCTACAATCTCTGGCACTGGAGGCGCCCCTCTGTCTCATCTCAGAAAGTTGGGAGTTATGCTGCTTTTTTTAGTCTTCTATCATCTTTGTAGTAGTTAGCACCGCGGCGCGCAGACAGTCTGGATGATGAAAGAGGCTTCTCCCCCCGGACCCTCTGATGACGCGTCACCGGGGTTAATGGTCTAATCAGACTCTGATTGCAGAACCTCATGGTAGAGAAGAGTGCCGAGGCAAATTGGATCAACGTATGCAGCCTAAAATTAGACTGATGTGATTATGAGGGGGGGGCTGCTCAGGTACAGCACAGCAATGATTGGCCAGCCAGGGATACTCCGTACGTTCCTAGACCTAGACTAGCCCAGGTCTGTATTGGGAGATGGCATCACACCTCATGATGGAAAATCCTTCATGGTAACGCATGCTGACCAGGGCCGGATTAAGAGCATCTAGCCGATATAGAAAAAAAAAATAGCATGTTTTCTGATAATGGTTAAAGTTGTCGATTTCCTTATAAGGTCTTTTTGGACATAATTGTACAGCCGATTGCCTCTGAACATGGAAGACTCTTCTTCATTTATTAGCTCGCGCTCTCTCCGCCGTCTGTTTTTTTTATTCAGGTCTTGTTCACTCTTTGTGCCCGGGCCGTGTGCGCTCCCTTGTCTTGCTGTTTCTGGGTTTCCCAGTACAAGGCTGTTAAATGCACTTTTATTGTTCTCAGTTGGGGTATCTCGGGGGAACTCAGCGCCCTTCAGCCTCTTGCGGTACATTAGCAGTGTGTTGATAATAGGTTTGATTTCTTAGAAGGCATGTCAGCGGCGGACGCCGCCACTGCTCGCCTTTCTCCGACGCCATATGGGAACAGATTCCGAAGCTTGTCCTTCCAGGCTTTTACTGCTGAACAAGGCCTGTCACATTCCATTCATATCTCCAGCCAGAGACGACAAGAGAGCATCCATTGAAGGACTTCTCTCCCCTCCAGGACATTCAAAGTTGGACGTTGTTCCCATAAACAGAAAGAATGACCATTGACACATGTAGAAAATAAAATAAAAGGTGAGCTCAGGTAAAAGGGGCAAACTCGGTTTTAGTGTGATTAAAGGGGCAGATCGGCAATATTTTCTCCCAGAAAAGTGGCTTTCTCTTAAGTTGTCTCTGAGCATGGACACACGGACATCTGAGTGAACATATGACGACACTTGGGGGATCCGAGAACACTGTCAATTGGGGGGTCCCAGAACAATGACAACCTGACACATGGGGGGTCCCAGAACAATAACACCCTGACACTGGGGGTCCCAGAACAATGACACACTGACACTTGGGGATCCCACAATGACACCCTGACATTTAGAGGTTCCAGAACAATGACACCCTGACACTTGGGGGTCCTGGAACAATGACACCCTGACACTTGGGGGTCCTGGAACAATGACACACTGACACTTGGGGGTCCCAGAACAATGACACACTGACACTTGGGGGTCCAGAACAATGACACGCTGACACTTGGGGATCCCACAACAATGACACCCTGACACTTGGGGATCCCACAACAATGACACCCTGACACTTGGGGATCCCACAACAATGACACCCTGACACTTGGGGATCCCACAACAATGACACCCTGACACTTGGGGGTTGCAGAACAATTTCAAACTGACACTTGGGGATCCCATTACAATGACACCCTGACACGTGGGGGTCCTGGAACAATGTCACCCTGACACGTGGGGGTCCTGGAACAATGTCACACTGACACTTGGGGATCCCTTAACAATGACCCACTGACCCAGGGATCCTGTAACATTGATACAATGTAATTTGGGGATCCCAGAACATCATAACACTGACACTTGAGGGGGGGCTGGAACCATGTCATACTGAAACTTGGGGAGTTCTCGAAACAATGTTACGCTGACAGTTGGGGGGCCCAAAACAAAAATATACTGGGGAGGGGGGGGGACACTTGGGGTCCTGCAATAATGTCACATTGACCCCTGGGGGTCCCAGAATATTGATAGTTGGGGGTCCCAGGACAATGACACATAGAATCCATCAAGATGAAAGAAATGTCAGGGGAGAAGGGTACAGCCACCTGTGAAGGGAAGACGCAGGAAACCATTGACAACACATCGGTATTATGTACTTGCTGACTATGTTAAAGCTAAAAATGCGCTTTAAATTGGCCAGTCACGTGATCTAATAGGGGTATAGGACTTACAGATCGTTCCCTTTACTTTGCATTGGAAGATCTTCGCTCATGAATAACTTAGAAGAAAAAAAATTAAGCTGCGAGAATATAATAATAAAAAAAAAAAAAGGTCACACACGAAAAAGCACAAAAATAATTAAAAGAAAAACAGCCTCAGAGATCCAAAGCGCACATTTCCTTTATTCAGATGTACAGCGTCAACAACTAATCATTTTCAAGAGTCCCAACTTTCGTAAACGCGGGGAATACGTCAGGGCTGAAATCGGTTTTACCTTAATTTTTCATACATCATCACACAACGTACAGAAATGTGTCGCTCTTCCTAATGTACATTATAGGTCAGCAGTTTAGTATACCATGAAACCGAGATGTCAGTGTAATATATATATGACAAGTAGAACAGACAACGCATACGGAATGCCAAATCTACAGGCATTTATGTTTTTTTATTTCACTTTTTTTTTTCTTCTTCTATAAAGTAGCCTAAATTAAGGCAGAGAGAAAAAAAATAACCTCCTTAAACGTTTCTTATTATTTCACAGCTTTTTTTAATTTTATTTTAATTTATTATTGTATTTTGCAACTGACAAAAATATGTTAGTTTCATAATATTCTTAATGATAGTTTTTTTTTTTAATTGAGATAAAATGTTCTATAATATATTGTGTCACCTGTTTCCACACACCCCTGAAAAATTAAACTTATAAACAGGGTTATTGCTGGTGTTTGATGTAATGATTAGTACATATTAAAAAAATGCAACAAAAATTAAAACAAAAAAGGAAAAACAAATGTTACTTAAATAAAAATAAACCCAGAATCTTTTGTTACGCTGATTTATTTTAAGTGATTTTCTAATAACAGTATTTTAATACTGCAATATTCTCTCTAAAACAGTGGTTCTCAACCTTTCTAGGGCCGGGACCCCTTGGTAACATTTGTCAAGTTGTGGTGACCCCCCAACGGTACAATTTAGGGATGACGCGGCTGCTGCAGCGACATCTGGCGGGAGAACTGACACTGCTGCGCTAGGAGAGGGCTGAGGTTGAGAACCACTGGCGTATGCCGTCAGATTAAAAAAAAACAAAAAAAAACACCATAGGAATGCATAGCTAGATTCCTATTGGCTATTTCACTTTGCAATAGCAAACTAGCTATCGCACCTGCCCACTGCTGCTGTTGCAAAGTGAAATAGCCAATGGGAATCTAGCTATGCATACCCACAGGTTGAGAACCGCTGGTCTAAAATCTACTTTAAAACCAACCAAAAAAAAATGAATTGAAAGGTTATCCAACAAAACAAAAACCTAAGAATACTATCGGCTTTCCTGCAAATGAAGACTAGTGTACGATCATTCTTCAAAAGTTAAGAATACATTCATTGTTTTTTTCTTTTCAGTGTAGTACCCCTGGAAGCCTGTATGTGTCACTAGAGCTATTGCTGTCCCGTCCAGTTAGGTTGACTATAGAACGCAGGGATTTTTATTTTTATTTTTTTTTACAGATTTTTTAAACATTTTTTTTTTTTACAAAATATATCATCGATGA